AGTTTCTGTTTTAAGACAGTTCATAGTTTCTGTTTTAAGACAGTTCATAGTTTCTTTCATTAAGACAGCTCATAGTTTCTGTTTTAAGACAGCTTATAGTTTCTTTCATTAAGACAGCTCATAGTTTCTGTTTTATGACAGATCATAGTTTCTTTCATTAAGACAAATCATAGTTTCTGTTTTAAGACAGTTCATAGTTTCTTTCATTTATACAGCTCATAATTTTTTTTATAAAGACAGCTCAAATTTTCTTTTTTAAGACAGGTTATAAATTATTTTATTAAAACAACTTGTAGTTTTTTCTTTCGGACAGCTCATAGTTTCTTTTGTTAAGACAGCTCGCAGTTTATTTCATTACGATAGCTCATATTTTATTTCATTAAGACAGCTCATAACTCTTTTATTAAACAGCTTGAATCTATTTTTCATTTTGACAGCTCAAAGTTTCTTTTTTTTAAGACAGCTTTTAATTTCTTTTATTAAAATAGCTCATAGTTTCCTTAAGACAGCTCGTTGTTTCTTTCCTTAAGACAGCTCGTTGTTTCTTTCCTTAAGACAACTCGTTGTTTCTTTCCTTAAGACAGCTCGTTGTTTCTTTCCTTAAGACAGCTCTTTGCTTCTTTCCTTATGATAGAACAAGATTTATTGTGTTTCTTGCTGTTGTTCATTTCCGTGTTCAGAATTCATGCAAAACTAAACAAGTATTGAAGTCAAATAAGATTATTCCCAAGACAAGATATAGCTGCTCCCCCCCCCCCCCCCCAAAAAATTAGCTACAGCTTCCCATCTACTTAAGTTATTTGACAAAACAAGAACTCAAGTAACCCACATTTAAGAATTCCAATTCTTGCTACACCCCTTCCCCCATGATGCGTCACTGCACACTTTTTATTTCCCGCCCATGAACTATATTAAATAATTCTCATGTCCTAGTGACTTTTAAACCGAATATTTTTTACATCATACTTAAATTGAGACGATATTCCGAAAAGAATATGTTACACACTAAACGCAGTTGGTTATTTAAAAATTAAAATATCTATAATGTTTATCGGGAATTATATTGTGCGCCCTAGTGAACTCATTATTTAACCACTAGAATAAATAACTCGATGTTATCGGGATAATAATGGTAGGTCCTTTCTAACTGCTATTGCAAGAACTCATCCCTTTTAAAATGTAATGATATTTAAGTTTCTAACATCATTAAGTTTTGAGAAGTGTTTATCTGCTATAATATGATACGCGTACCCTACAACCTTTCACACTCCTTAACTACTTTCCCCCCCCCCCTAAACATGACCTCATATTACCCAGTCTAAATTATCACTATTTATATAATTTTTGTCACTAAAGAAGTTAATTGAGGGACAATTACTACGCTACAGAAATGCTTTACATTTACTCCTTTTCGTGCCCTTGAATTATAACTTTTTAACAAATTATACATTATCAGAAAATGGTAAAAAAAAAAAAAAAATTTTATCTGAGAAGAATCTCGCAACTGTTTTTCATGCCTATAAAATTTTTGTCACTAAAGAATTTAATTGAGGGACAATTACTACGCTACAGAAATGCTTTACATTTACTCCTTTTCGTGCCCTTGAATTAAAACTTTTTAACAAATTATACATTATCAGAAAATGGTAAAAAAAAAAAAAAAAATTTTATCTGAGAAGAATCTCGCAACTGTTTTTCATGCCTATATCATATTTGACTGTCTTTTCACAAAAATTAAATTGTTAATCTTATAAAAATACACACCTATTTAATGTTAGCAAAGTAACAACAAAAATATATTTTCATTTTTAAAAAAAAAGAAAATATTAACCCATCTTCATTTGTAAAAAAAATTAATTTTCAGGTGTGTAAAATGATTGGGATTTGATATTCATGGATATACATAAATAACAGTTCCCAAGATTTGTTAACGCCATTTATTTTCTTAATTTGGTAAATATATGTTTATTTGTAATAAGAGAAATTAACATATCTTTTTCACAAATGTAATAGCATAGGATTTCAATATATTGTCATCCACGTAAAAATGTACACATTCTTTTTTCCTATGTCCGATATTTATATACCAAAGAATGTTAATTATTAATCACATCAATTCCTTTATTTTGGGACGTATCTTGTATTGCCTTGGGCAAAAGGAACATACCAATATTTGTAAAAAGAGAATGTAACATCTTATTTTTTCACAAATGTAGTACCATAGAAGTTAACTTTGTTGTCATCCACGTAAGAATGTACACATCTTATTTCCTACCTCCGACATGTATTTCTACACCAAAATTAATTTATAATCTAATTCATTCCTTTATTTTGAGACTTATCTTGTGCTCCCTTGAGCAAAATGAACATACACATATTTGTAAAAAGAGAATGCAACAACTCTTTTTTTCCCAAATGTAATAACATAAGATTTAAATATATGGTCATCCACGTAAAAATGTAAATATCCTATCTCCTACCTCCGATATGAATGTACCCAAGAACGGTAATTATTTATCTAAATCATTCCTTTATTTTGAGACGTATCTTGTGCTGCCTTGGACAAAATGAACATACCCATATTTGCAAAAAGAGAATGTAACGTCTCTTTTATTTCAAATGTAATACCATAAGATTTAAATATATTGTCATCTACGTAAAAATGTACACATCCTATTTCCTACGTCCGATATGAATGTACCCAAGAAGGCTAATTATTTATCAAATTCTTTCATTTATATTCCACCGGATTGTAGTCCCTTCCATACCCAAACTAACATATTTTGCACTTCATATTGGTATGAGATATAGTTGGATTAGCGAATGCTATTTAGCTATGGAGTTCCGCTGTACTGATTAACTTAAACCGCAATTCTTATTAGAATTAGAATTAAGGTTAGTTTTTATTACATTATAAATTTAACAAATATATATTTTTGGAATCAAAACAGGCAAAAAATTTTAAATGTAAAAATACACGAAGCAAAAAAGTGTGTGTGTTTTATTAACTATTTAAAAAGCAATCAATTTTAATTATTAGTTTTACTTTTAAAAAGGGAAAATACAGTACCAGTTTTGTCACGCGCGGTTATTACATTGAAAGAAACCTAAGAGTTTTGGCAAAATAGGCTATTCGCCTAAAAATAACTATGATTGTTTTTAGGAATCCGAACGTACTTAAATCATATGTCTCTTTTGGCTTTATGTGACCCTAGCTCATTCTTATATATATACTATCTGTCAAACATATAAATTTTTTTGATATATACTCTCAATACCAAATACGCTGAATAGGAAGCAGCCAGTAATGGAAGTAGACCACGAGTCACACCAGAAGCGTAATATATATAAGAGATTAACAATTGTTGTACATTATTGTTGTATTTTAATTTCCGCTTTTGATTGCTTAGATTTTTTAATGTTTTTTTTTTTTTTTTTTGAAGATGCCAACAATTTGCTGTGTCCCTTAATTCGTCTATAACTTTGCTGTTGTTACTGGCGTGCTGCTGCAAACAAAAATTTTTGTATTTTATTTTTTTTTTTTGATTGCTTAGATTTTTTAATGTTTTTTTTTTTTTTTTTGAAGATGCCAACAATTTGCTGTGTCCCTTAATTCGTCTATAACTTTGCTGTTGTTACTGGCGTGCTGCTGCAAACAAAATCAACTGATTAGCTTTTCTCTATTTGATTGCAAAGCTGATCCTTGAGATTTAAGCTTGTCAATTAATTGAGGAAAGTTGAATAAACGGAGTTCGTTTGGGTGCAGAACAGTGTATTCGTTTTGTTTCCTTTTTTTTTTTTTAGAAAAGAATGAGGCTATTTTCCGTTGAACTATAAATTATATGTTCGAAGCCATTTTTTTTATCTGCCGGAGTAAGCTACATAAATCGCAATCGTCTTTTCTTTCTTACAATTTGAATCAATACATTATCGTCAAATTTAATGAGATGCAACAAAAATCTTGATAAAACACCATAGCCAGCTCCCCTTTGCCTTTTTAATTATTATAATCATTTTATTTTTTTTGGTTTGGAAGAGGGGGGGGGGGGGAGGGGGGAACTTTTGAGTGTATCATCACCTCTGGAACAAATTTTTAATTTATGTAACATCTCAAGTTCTTAATTAAATAATTTCTATTGACAACCTTTCAACCCCCCCCTCCCCCAAACCTCTTCACCTCGCCCCGTGAGCTTTTATGTATTAACTCTCCCTTTATCTCGGTACCATGGAGATTTCAGCCATTATTGTGTCGCCAACGCCACCGATTTATCGATACCCAATTTTGAAAGCTGCACCTGGTCCCTCCTTAAACTAGTCTTACTCCACTCTTAAGTAAATAAAGGGATGTCATACTTTATTGAATATCTGATTTAGTATCGACACCTTTCAAAATGTCAAATGCCTACAATGAAAAAGAGGATTATTATTTTATTTTAAAAATTAAATTATCCACATCTTCAAGAGAGTCACTTTTATTATTATTTTTTTTTTAAAATACAAGAGCTGCATTTGTTTTTATCCATCGTTCCTGTGGTCTGCTTAAGTCGTCGGTCGGAGTGCATGTTTTAACACCTTGACCCTGTCCCCAGCTCCCCTGAAGCTTTGAGGTGAGTCGATGCTGGTCGTCTCCGTGTGGCTGGTGTGGCTGAGCTGCGTGGACCGCCTGAAGCTTTTCGTGTCTCCGCGTAAGCGGGGTACATATAAATGGAGGACTCGCTTGGTGCACACGTAGGATAAGAAGATGAAGGCCCCTTGAAGCCCATTCAACAGGATGGAAATGAATCTGGATATAATGATATCGAAATATTTATAAATAATAAAGTCAAGAAATAAATTTAATACAATTCAATTCATACATTTCATAGGGCGGATTTTAAATGTTTATTTTACATACTTAGATGTTTATCTTTCGATATAGCCAAAGAGATATGTTTGACAAGGAAAGCATCCCAGGTAGCCATATTTTTTTACCTTAAGGCATCACACTCTAGCGCCTCAGCTATGATAGCCATAGCCCAGAATGCTCCTGTCACGGACGACAACTTGAGGTAAACGCAAAGGTTTTGGCGATCTTCCTTCTTAAAAGTATCCGAAAAGTTCAGCTTCCTGACCTTTTCAATGTGGACCACCACTATGGTGAACAATACGGCGTTACAGACCAGGACGACAGCGAGTGGTGCGACGACAGAAAGTCCTAGTGGGGACAAAAACATCAAACAGCGTCATTGATATGTCTTTAAGACGGCAGCACCACTGTTAGCGTGATAGCTGCAAAATTTTACGATTGGTTACATATATCGGCATTAGGAAAAAAAAACTCTTAAAGATATAGACATTTTAAAATTATAGCTGTTTGTGGATTACGTATACAAAATATGTACTTAAAAATAGTTTGTAATATATTTTAATTGTCTAATTACAAAGTGTCAACTGAAAGAGTGACGTTAAGTAGTCAAGCATTTGACTCAAATATTATATAAAACAAGACTATTTCAAAATACTGTTTATAATATAAATTCAATGCATTTAATATATCGGTAAATTTAGAATTAATTTAATTTCCTCAAAACACAGTATTTAAATGTATTATTTCAGATGCGAAATAAACGAGTTCCAAAAGTGATATGTTCAAGCAAGGACCTGATTTCCTATAGAACCAATAAATTACAATTGTCTATGAAAATAGGAAATGCATACACTTAACATACGAACGGTTATATTTCATCGCAATAAAGGTTGTTGTTGTTGTTTTTTTTAAAAACTGAATGTAATGGATGATTAATATAATAGGCTGGTCAAAGAGTTCAAAAATTCCGATTTTTTAAAAGTTCTTATTCAACGCACCAATGAGTAGAGTTGAATTTAAATAGCAGGTGACCTGACCATAGCCACTATTTTGATCAGGCGACGTCATCACTGATGACACAACCACCGCGGTGACCACAAGAACGGGGAAAACTAAAGATGAAAACAACTTCTTGATCAGCTCGGCGGTGTGACCACGTGACGTGGAGGATGAGCAGCGGGTCTTGGCCGTGAACACTCTGAACATGTGGAAGCAGCAGACGAACGTCCACGTGAACATCCACAGCCAAGAGAAATGGGTCAGCATACCTACTGCTGTGCAGAAGTGGCTTGGACCTGAGCTACATAAGTACACAAAGAGAATAGCAACTACTTTAAATATTTCTCATGGTTTTGCTTTAGTTATACTAGGATGACTAATAATATCATTATAATTTTAAAATATTGATTTATATCAAATATACGTAAAAGAAATATACAACTTTCCTATACAACTGTTGAAAAGTGATGCAAGGAAACTAGTTTACAACAATGAATCTAAAGTCTGAATTAATATGCTTACATATAAAAAAGTATAATGTCATTATATACAGAAGGTCTGTAACAATTATGTTGTGAAAGTGAGAGTCAAAAAACTATTGTGAGATATGTGAAGCACTCTCAGACAGTGACACTGGACCAACTAACTGGTGTTAAGATTAATGAGACACAATTTGTGTAAAACAGTTTATGTAAGCTTTCATTATTATTAGTAAAAAAATACAAATTGAAAACTTTGAGATAACGCTTTCTTCAGAACAACACAACAACAAATAACATCAATGTAAATTAAATGTCACACAATATATTTATGTCCTTCTTATATCTGTTAAAATGTAAGAAAAAAAACAACAAAGATTGGACACAAATCCAATGCGAAAACAAAGATAAGAAGAAAGGAAAGGAAGTGGGTGGAAGTGTATAGATTGTATCCTTGTATTCCATCCTCTGACTAGGCCATTAAGCTGTCAAATGTGTGAAGTGGGTGGAAGTGTATAGATTGTATCCTTGTATCCCATCCTCTGACAAGGCCATTAAGCTGTCAAATGTGTGAAGTGGGTGGACGTGTATAGATTGTATCCTTGTATCCCATCCTCTGACAAGGCCATTAAACTGTCAAATGTGTGAAGTGGGTGGAAGTGTATAGATTGTATCCTTGTATCCCATCCTCTGACAAGGCCATTAAACTGTCAAATGTGTGAAGTGGTGGACGTGTATAGATTGTATCCTTGTATCCCATCCTCTGACAAGGCCATTAAACTGTCAAATGTGTGAAGTGGGTGGAAGTGTATAGATTGTATCCTTGTATCCCATCCTCTGACTAGGCCATTAAACTTTCAAATGTGTGAAGTGGGTGGACGTGTATAGATTGTATCCTTGTATCCCATCCTCTGACAAGGCCATTAAGCTGTCAAATTTGTGAAGTGGGTGGACGTGTATAGATTGTATCCTTGTATCCCATCCTCTGACAAGGCCATTAAGCTGTCAAATGTGTGAAGTGGGTGGACGTGTATAGATTGTATCCTTGTATCCCATCCTCTGACTAGGCCATTAAACTGTCAAATGTGTGAAGTGGGTGGACGTGTATAGATTGTATCCTTGTATCCCATTCTCTGACAAGGCCATTAAGCTGTCAAATGTGTGAAGTGGGTGGAAGTGTATAGATTGTATCCTTGTATCCCATCCTCTGACAAGGCCATTAAACTGTCAAATGTGTGAAGTGGGTGGAAGTGTATAGATTGTATCCTTGTATCCCATCCTCTGACTAGGCCATTAAACTGTCAAATGTGTGAAGTGGGTGGACGTGTATAGATTGTATCCTTGTATCCCATCCTCTGACAAGGCCATTAAGCTGTCAAATTTGTGAAGTGGGTGGACGTGTATAGATTGTATCCTTGTATCCAATCCTCTGACAAGGCCATTAAGCTGTCAAATGTGTGAAGTGGGTGGACGTGTATAGATTGTATCCTTGTATCCCATCCTCTGACTAGGCCATTAAGCTGTCAAATGTGTGAAGTGGGTGGACGTGTATAGATTGTATCCTTGTATCCCATCCTCTAACTAGGCCATTAAACTGTCAAATGTGTGAAGTGGGTGGACGTGTATAGATTGTATCCTTGTATCCCATCCTCTGACAAGGCCATTAAGCTGTCAAATGTGTGAAGTGGGTGGACGTGTATAGATTGTATCCTTGTATCCCATCCTCTGACAAGGCCATTAAGCTGTCAAATATGTGAAGTGGGTGGACGTGTATAGATTGTATCCTTGTATCCCATCCTCTGACTAGGCCATTAAGCTGTCAAATGTGTGAAGTGGTGGACGTGTATAGATTGTATCCTTGTATCCCATCCTCTGACTAGGCCATTAAGCTGTCAAATATGTGAAGTGGGTGGACGTGTATAGATTGTATCCTTGTATCCCATCCTCTGACTAGGCCATTAAGCTGTCAAATGTGTGAAGTGGTGGACGTGTATAGATTGTATCCTTGTATCCCATCCTCTGACTAGGCCATTAAGCTGTCAAATGTGTGAAGTGGGTGGACGTGTATAGATTGTATCCTTGTATCCCATCCTCTGACTAGGCCATTAAGCTGTCAAATGTGTGGAACCCCTCAAGACTTAAACAATTTTAGAAAGTGACAATAACTAAAATAAGGCAACTGGAAATAAACTGGTGACGTCCATCACTTGCGTGTACCCCTGGTAATACTGTGCGTCGTTAGAAAGAAAGTAGATTGAGAAAAAGTCAGTCCAGTATTCTTGAAAGTGAAATTTTACGAAAAAAAACCTTCTAAAATGTAAATAAATAGTGGAACAAGATTTGTTAAGGCTTGAAAAATAAAAAAAGAAAGGAAAATTATAAGAAATTTTTGCTTGAACTAAGTCCCCTATATATTATCTCTAAAAATTTAACCTGAGAACATATTTAGTCATAAAAAACATTCAAAAAGATTGTAAATAATTAGCATGTCAGTCTACAATTTGTCAAACATTAAATGTTTTCCAACAAAGTTGAAAAAAAATCAGTCTCACTCTGAGGTTTTCAACTTACTAATTTACCGTCAAGATTGACACCTTGTCATAACATTTTGAAAAGAAATATAGCAGTTGAAACAGGTTTATTTGGACATTTGGCCTCGTACTTAAAATTGAAATAATAATAGCAAAGATTTAAATATTAAAATCATAATCTATCTTTCCCATCTTTGCCTGTATTAAGATAAATTTCTGTTGAAGTTCGAAGAGCTTTCATTTGAATAAAATGGGTATTCTTCTTAAGGCAAGTAGTTTAGCAACGAATAGGATATTCCACTAACTAGCGCTACATATTCTGATGAATGTCTGAGATTACTCTCTTAGGACCCCGGCTAGTACATTAGCGATCAGCCATATAACATTTTCCTCACGTAGGGCTCGCCCGTCGCCTTAGCCTCCCTTGAAACATTTAGTGAGGGGCATTCGGTCAACAGATGCGCTAGTGTTTGCGAGACCAGGCTGCAATGCCGGCAGATAGGGTCCTTGTTAGGTATAGCCTATTGAAATGTGCGTTGATGCGACAGTGCTCGGTACGCATCTGTGTCACTAGAGTCTGTTGCCCACGACCTGGCCTCCACCAAGCGTCTTGTCTGCTAGGAGACGGCGTGTTAGCGAATTCAGCATATGTCTGTCGTGTTGTCTGCCTACTGCTTGTACCATTTTGTGCGAACATGGTCTGCCAACCAGTTTGTTATACATAAGCACGATACTGGTAACTTTGTTTGAGCCTGAGCAGCCCTGGAGTTTGCCAGGTTGTCTTCTTTTTCATGGTCACTGACAAATATTCCACTACAGTGAACGTGTTGGACTCCTGGTCAATTAATTTTATTAAGCAGCATTTCTTCATAATTTGTTTTAGCTGTTTGGTATTACTTTACTTTTTTTTAAAAATCATGAAAAGGATGATAAACAAAAATATGATGGTAAAATATAAAAAATTTCACAGTTTGAAACTTACAGATGTGATGCAAGACAAAGCATCGCCTGGGCCAGTAGAAGACTCGTGCATAGGAACATGTTATTTAACCCAGCCGAGCTCTGCAAGACTCTAAATCTAAAATACGTAAATAGTGTCAAAACCAAACACAGCATTGAAATTCCCAGACAACCCATCGTAAGGATGTACTGAGCTTCCTCCGACGCACTTGCTACCTCCGGCTGACCCAAGAGAGCGCGTCTGTTTGCTTCTTCTAATTCACTGAGTTTATCCTCAAGCATTTCATGACAAACATTCAGGCGACCTTCCCCATCTATGTTCATCAACTTTAGATCGGTGTCATCTGAAATGTTGACAACTGTCCCATTCAGATCTATCATAACGTTGACACGCGGCGGAATGTCCAAGTGATCCACGTCGATGCTGAACTGTGTCGTGTTGAAGCTGACGAAACGGCAAGTCAACAGAAGAGTTACATTCAGAAATAAATCCTTTAAATTCATCATGCTTTTTTGCCTTTTCTTCCACAGATTGCCCGATGCTAGGGTCTCAGTAATGCAAGTTGCGTTATCCCGCGATATTTGATTGCAGATCGACGAGCTCTCGAACGAGCCGATCATCGCGTGCTGCTTAAACATAACCGGATAGCCTTTCAGTACATCTATGGCTATGGGGTTGTTGATGAACGTAAGGATCAATGTGTTCTCGAAGTCATCTCTGTGCGATGAGAACTTTCCTACAATGCTGGATTGAAACCATAAAATAAACGCAGCTGCTAGATTGTATGAGGAGCTCGAATTTGATGACTCGGTGGTAAGCAGGCCGACTTCGGTAAGATGACCATCAATCAACCCCTCAAACAGTTGGTGTAACTGAAAAGTACAAATATTAAACGTTAATGTGCTGAAAACTAGTGGTCATTAGTTTATTTTCATTGCAGTGTGTCCCGATATTAATAGAATGTGGAATACGTGTGTGTGTGTGGGGCGGGGGGGGGGGGGGGGGGGGGGGGGGGGGGGGGGGGGGGGGGGGGTAGCAAGGTTTACAGCTAGCTGGGCGGCAATGGTTTTTGGCCAGCCCTTCTGTCACGAATTGCTTCGCGTGGCTACGTTGTCTAGGGGTATTTGGAACACACTGTACACACAGACTTTGCGCAGGAGTTTTTCCAGTTATTAATTATTCTACTTTAATTTAGTCGAGCCCGAACACCCGTTCGTAATGTGTGCTCCGCTAACAAGGTTTGCCAGAGAGCCACACATACCAAAGGGATCTCTGGCAACACTAATAACGAAAGCTGACAATAGCTCTGAT